CGCAAATTCTTCAATTCGGATTGCAAGTAGAAATCATAGCCCCCTACTGGCAGACTAATGCCGACTCGGAGGCCGAGTGGCGAGTAGTTTCAAATGTGTTGAGTTTAGGTGCTAATGGCATCGAACAAAGACGGTCACTGCATCGCGCGCTTTCAGATACCGTGTTTCTGCGGCCACCTGGAATGCTCTTCCTTCCGATATTAGTCAGCCACTAGAGCAATGCACTTTTAAATAATTTCAATTGAAAACTAATTTATTTAGAAGTATATTCTTAGGTCACATAAAAGGGAAATAATAAAGCAATAAAAATTAAACATAACAAAATAATATATATTATTTCCCTTCTACTTGACTTTACCGAAAGAACCAAGAAGATGAATCCCTGCAGTCACGAAAGCTTTAAATCGAAAAGTGTTTCTGTGTTTAGTTTGTTGTCCTTCCACCGCACCTCCGATAATCGTGGTTGGCTACGTACGGATGCGAAAGAAGTTCAACGTGCACACAAACACTCAGTCACGTGTAAAGCACTCTCAAGACGCCCTGGCCTCAATCAAAAACAAATCATTATGTGCACACGAAATGCTCATCAACATTGTATTCCTCTGCATCAGACATGCTGTTAGATATTCTGAAGCAATTATTTCCATTCATAACACAGGTCAATTTATCTCATTTGGAACATGCATGAAAGGCAGCAGTTGGGAACTTTAGAGTCTAATGTCCAAATCACGACAAAAATGCCTCCATGTCATTACAAAAAATAGGATTGACCTTCTAGTCTCCAGCTGAGCCCTGCAGCTTATTAAACACTGCAATGTTTATAATAAACAAAATGCATTGTAAAAAAGGGCTGCAATGCCAAATGCAGGAAATGTGATGTGTAAAGAATTAAACTAACAGTGTGTTATTGCACTGTACTAAATTACAGTAAATCCACAGTCGTGTTGGTAATGGCATTGGCACTGCGATAAGAGATAAACAAATCACCGATTCCCATTACCATGGGCATGAGCACTTACAACACTGTCACATCACGGAATAGAAAGGCTAGCAATGCAACCGCACTGTTGTTCCAACCAGATAATGTGATTTATCACATGCTTAGATGTTCTCCAAAGGTTATGTTTCCAGAAGACATTTACTTTGAAGGTCACATTAAAAAGCATGGTACTCACAACATATTTGCTTTATACACAATGTGAAAATCCAGTAACAATGAAATTCTCATTAAGAAACAATATCTGCTTTCAAAGCCACTCATTATAGTGACTATCAAATCTCCCTTCTACCCATCCACTGTCACCCGCCCACTTTGTTGCTGGATAAATTGAGTGAATGTGCGCATAACATTGCAGGTAATGAAGCTTGGAGAGCTGCATGGCGTTCAAAAGAACTCGCAAGCACCTTGTTGTGAAAGACCCAACGCAGAACATCCCCGGCTTTGATCTTCCACGAAGCTCATGGTCCGCCCTGAACTGCATCCACTGCACACACCATGGCAGATGCGGATACCTGATGGACAAACGGTGAATTTAAAAACTCTCCTATAGCGTTCGACTGCATAGAAAATAATGAATAAAAGGATAAGCGATCTTGATTTGAGTAGGATAAGCGATGCAATACTTTAGCGCTTAATTAACTTAAAATTATTTTAACTTTTAGTTCTGAGGAAAGATAATTAAAAAAATGAATTATTGCATTCCGTCACTCTTGAAAATTAATATTTTAGAAACAAAAGCAATTCCACACGGTAGACAATTCACAATCACAACTCAATAGCAACGCTGATTGCATTGTCTACTTAGGAAACTTCACAATGCATTGCCTCCTCTCATATTCAGAAGTCATTCCTCAGAGACCGATGTGAGAAGCAGATTTCTAACTGAAATTTCAATGATCGGCTAACATGTGTTTATCTCTCCTTTGTGAAACCAAAGGTGTTGATAGGCTCCTGCTGCCTGCCAATATTAAGCACACGCGTACTCGTGATGTGTGTGCCCAGTGACAGCAAAAGTGCCCTAGAGGGCAACAACAATCGCTTAAGCACTGGAGCAAATGTCTACTCCACTCCGCTGTAAATCCAGCACGATATCTGCAGTAACTCTGACTGGAGCACATTATTCTCCTTTGCACCTTAAATTCCACCTGCATTTTTGCATATATGAACTCATGACACTATTTTTGACAAAAACAACAAACGCGGGTCGCCACTAAGTGATGGTGATTTCAACATGCCCGCTTTTGCCAGGCTAGGTGCACCTTGAGGCCATCACGTGAAGTGCCGAAGGCTCGCTGGCAGGAGATCACAAAACCGAGCTAGCAGGTGTCACGGACTGAATGACTGAGATGACTGGCAGATGCACCACATGTTCTCCCCAATGTGCCAACTTGCTGAGTTTTATCCATCCAGCACTCTGTTGTTGGAGGGCGACTGCCTCCAATTGCCACAGTCGCGTCCTTCACATGCCTCCTCCAGGGCCCGATCTTGACACCGCTGGTACCGGTCCACCTGCCAAAGTGGTGATCAGATGTGCTCATAATTGTTTAACTTCCAACATAATGAAAAAAAACAATATTGACACTATTAAGAAGCTTAATCTCTAACCGTGTCAGAATATATGGATGATTACAGGCGATTTGGATTATTTAATACCTTAATTGAAGTCTAAATAGCCTAAACACATTTAATGACTGTAATTAATAGTATGTCAGGGTCGTCCCAAGCCTATCAATATATTGGAGTCATGTAATTAAGTACTGCCGTTTGATGGCTCCTGCCATGAGAATGTGGAATTTCAACCACTGGCTCATAGCTGCTAACAGAGCACCGACAACATACATATTTGTACAAGGACACTTTTTATTTGAAGGTGACTGTACCGACTACAAGCTGCTTAATGTTTAAGTTGAGCAGCCAGACATGGTCGCTTGTGACATTCTATAAAGGATAAAAAAAATTATCCAGAATCAGAAATTCATCAACTGTTTACAGAAAGTAAATGGCAGACTTGGAATGAAGAACCAATGTGTCTTAAAACAATGTTATCCGGGCCTCTCTCTGTGCTGCGTTGCACAGCTATCCAGGTAAGTCAACCTAGCGCCTCCAATGACACATGCAAAGCCAGGCTAATCTTATAATTCCAGTGCTTTTATTGAAGAACACATACGTGCATACTGTATGCGTGCACATACGCTCGTGGTAAAACTGTAGAACAGACTGCAGTACAACATTAACACTGAGACATGGAATAGAGAACACAATAACAATACACATCTACGCCTCTATTTGAGGATGAAACAGGAGGACTTCCTCACAAATATGGCTGTCGCCTGATGAAGCTGGTTGTAATTACTGGCGAAACGTCGCACTCAGATTGTAAATGTTGTGGCTTTGCTCTCCAACACACCGGTTAGTGCTGTACTAGTGACGAATTGGCACGTTCTGTTTACGTGGCAACCCTTACTAGTTGGCTGTGTCGGGTGGTGGCGGGTTTAACGACACATTGATATATTTACGCGATCTAACCCAAAACAACCTCTATTATGGATAAAGTTTTATGGACTGATGCATCGCAACCAGTGAATGACAACAAAGGTTGCTGCATGACTATCATATTCCTCATAACTCTCATCAAGTTACAAGCTGGACACACGTGACTACACAACACACATTACTACACAACACACATTACTACACAATACACATTACTACACAACACACGAGTCTGTGCATACATTGTTCCCTCATCCCTATTTACACACAAGAAATATGGAATTAACGTTCCTACAATTGACTGTCTCCAAAGCCACGTGGCTGGGCCATTGAGGTCGCACGTCAATATGCACCTCAGATAACTAGAGCGGAGGCCATAATGAAATTCCTTATTTAACAATCATAAGATTGCAGCTTTAATAATGTACACAGGAGAGCTAAATACACTATCATAAAGCACTTACAGACGATGATTCCATCAGGGGTGTGGGTCAAAATCAAACGTTTAACATTATTTAACTTGGTAATTTGAGTACAACTTAAGATATCCTGTTTTATTCGCACAAACTGTTTATAATGAAGACCCATCTCGATGGACTAATCAAATGCATAACTGATTTTAACCCAAGCGCAGATTTCCCAGACTGCGAACACAATTGTACATACTTTAACTCAGAATCAGAATGAAAATCTGACGAGCCATGAAACTGGTCTTTTTTAACAGATGTGCAGTAGACTCGTCAACCTTTGTGTAAATGTATGTTTGTTCAACTTCTTTGGTCGTAGCCAACCGTGCTAACCGGAGGTACAATAACACACGTGAAAGCTGCTCTTTGCCTTCATTTATATTTCACTAATCACGTGGACGCACGTGATGAATTATCTCTGGTAATGCACAAAAAGAGAAAAAATTAACCCGTAAAAACAAAGTTTTTCACTATAAATCCTTTATATGCGTGGCGGCTGGAGTCCTCTCGTCCTCTGGCTTGAGATGGCTGCCACCTATGGGTCAGATGATTGCCTGCCACCATTAAGCAATTGGTAATTAAATATAATTTATTTTTTCCTAAAAAGTGTAAAATTTTGGAATTTGTTTTCACGAAAATACATTGTCACGCACAACGAGTATGTGTGCAAAATGTCAGCTCGATTGGATCACGGGAAGTGGGTTAAAAAACGACCGAAAGATTTGCACGGTCGTAAGCAAGCAAGTGAACTTAATATAAAGGATTTAAAAAATAAGTTTCCCATGTTATGGCGTGAGAGATATTTTGTAGCAATCTCGAACACAAAAATCTCACGAAGCGGTGAGTGACACCACGTGACTTCGCATCAATGGATTTCGAGGGCTGTCGTGTGCTTTAAATCTTCGCTATAAGCAACAGCAGCAAGACTACCGTGTCATGTGACAATTTAATAAAATACAACTAGTGTGGTCTGAAATATTACAGTACATTACTAAAACGAATCACACATCGCATCAAGGGTCTCTTGACTTATTACATCCTTCCGAAATTGCTATTTCAATCGATGCGTATTGAAATGATAGCGTACAACTTGGAAAACACGTTTTATTATTATTTAAAACGTAAAACTATTTCTGTAAAGAACGTGGTCTATTCACATAGACGACTGTTTGGCGCGTTGACATCTGACTCGATGCTACCACCCTGTGCTCCCGTGGCAGGTTACACGCTGCGAGTGGCAATCAGGATAATCACGAAAAGCGGGACACGCCACAACACTGAGCGCACCCCCTTGTTCGAGGCGCCGTCCATTCGGGCCGATATCATCAATTCCGCCGCTGCCGCCGCTTAAGCAATCGCGCGCACCTAATTGCGGCAAAGTGTCACCCGTTCTCCTCGTTCTGTGCGAAGAATAAATAACTGGGCTTCCGAAAGAGGGAAGAAAGAAGTGGACGGAGGAGACGCACCACACACTCACACCACACACACAGCCCACCGCACACACACACAGCACACCCTACACATAAAACCCGAGCGAGCGAGAGCGCAAGCGGGCTTGCTCGAGTTGCAGCAGGACGGAATACTAAAGAGGAGCACTCGGGCATTTGTATCGCGAGGGGGTCCCAAGCCCTCGGGCAGAAGAACTCACTCCTCCTCCTCCACGCGGCTGCTCCGCTACCCACAAAAGTGACTTAAAGCGGCGTGCGCATCTCACGTGGCCACGGCCACAGGCAGGAGCAGCAGACGAGAGCGCAGTACAACGATGACACCCACGCTTGCACCACGCCTGGCCGCGCGACTGCTGCTGCTGCTGTTGCCGCTGCTGCTGCTGCTGCCGCAGGGGCCTCTATCGAGCCTCGCGTACCCGGCAGAGCCCGGCTACCAGGCGTGGCCACCCTCCCCGTCGCCCCCGGCGGCCGGCACGCCGCAGGACTACGAGATGGAGGACTACCGCGGCAAGGGCTGCCTGGACGAGACGGGCTTCGTGTACGGACTCGGCGAGGAGTTCTGGCCGGGGCGCTCGCCGTGCCCGTGCCGCTGCACGCCCGACGGCCCCGTGTGCCCCAAGCCCGAGTGTCCGCGATTCGCCGAGGCGCGCTGCGCCCGCGTGGAGCGCAGCGGCTGCTGCCCGCAGTGCGCGGAGACCCGCAGCGAGTGCGAACACCAGGGACGCGCCTACGCGATCCTGCAGGAGTTCACGGTGGGTGGCTCTTGCGGAGCAGGTGCTGCTGGGAGTCGTGTCTGTCTCTGTGTCTATCTCTGTGTGTGGGGAGCGGTGGTGGAGCGGTAAGCGCTATGCTGCGCTACAGACCCGGCGACCCGAGTTCGATTCCCGCTTACGGACAACACCGGTGACGATTGTTTGAACCGGTCCTGGGCCTCCCCTAGGTCGACTCAGCCTCAAATAAGTACCTGATGCGGTGCGTAAAAAGTCGCCACGAGGAAGACAAAGACGGGCAGGCGTGTTGCCCTCGTGTGCCGTTCCGGCCTTCATAGGTGCTCTCTAAGAGCACTTGCCCCAACAGTCTGTTAAGGCTAGACGGACGATCTTTGTTTTTGTGTGGGGTAGCGGTAGTGTAGCGGTTATTGCGCTGCGCTACGAACTCCTGTGACCAAAGTTCGACTCCCGCTCAGGGCCACCAACACTCGTGCCAATTTTCTGAACCGGTCCTGGGTCGACTCAGCCTCAAATGAATCTCCCCGTGGCAATGTGTCCGTGTAGTTTCCATCGCCACCGGGGAGGCGAAGGCGGCCGTGCTGGTCCTCATAAGTGCTCGCTAACAACAGTCTGTTCTAACTTGCCCCAACAAGGCGATACGGGGGATCTTTGTATTTATCTTTGGTGAGTAGAGTCTGGAATGTGTTGCTGAAACGGGTCAACGAGTTTATCGGACAATCAAAAGAAAGAAGCGCGTGTAATTTGAATGTGTAGACAATCGAAGTCATTCGCTGCTGAAGTGTGCTACTCCCATGCTGGATGAGGGCATCTCCCAGGCCGCATCAGTTGCGGGGGTCGCGTGACGACCCTTGGCGCTGGGATGGACGTGGAGGGATGGATCAGACGTCACCGTGAGTGGCAGGTCTCCGGGTCCACCGAGCAGCGAGAGAACCACGGCGCCACTTGTTCACCACCATCAGCAACTTGGAGGCTCTGAATGTGCACACCGAGGCGGTGTGCGGTGGGACGCGTGTGTTGGATGGAACGTTACGGACGACCCTTTTGAGAGGTTTGAGTCCGAGGGGAAGGAAGACATTTAGCCCGATAGTGCGACAGTGCAAGAACGGACGTTGACTGTACATCAAATACGAAATCTAGCCAAAGGAAGGGGGCGATGGCGACGTGGGGTGCCTTGTGTATGGCAGGTCCCGCTCAGCCTGAGGATGAGCCATGGTTAAAACGACAGAGCCGCCGGTGCAGTGGGATTGCCTAGCAGCGGGGTGATGAGAGATGCGTGGGGAGAAGGGCAGGGTGGGGGGGACAATGAGAGGGTGGGACACCGAGGCACACGCCGCATTTGTGACAGTTGCCAGCTGCGGGATATGAGAACCAGGATGAGCTGGGAGTACGGCCCGGGATGATGTGATTGGGCTCGTGTCAGAATATAGAGTCAGTGTCAGGGAAAGGATTATAGCTGTTTGCTGTCGGTACCCCCCCCCCGCACCTCCGATTAGCACGGTTGGCTACGTACGGTACCAAAGAAGTCCAACATACAGTATACATACAGCCATTGTACTGATACAAAAAGGGCGAGTTTTCAAGATCGGGTTAGCATTATAGATAGAGTTCGTGTTCGGGGCAGCGTTAGAATAATGGATGCGGTCATTACGCTTCTAAACAGTTTTCGTGTTTATTGTTGAGGTTAGAGTTAATGTATGTTTCATGGGTTGTGGATAGGGTTATGTTTACAGGGCTAATGATGGACGGTGACTCGTTAGGTTACTGTTATGTGCAGGTTTTTTTTCCACTGCATTCGGATAAACGTTACTTATAGGGTTAGTATTTAAAATAGGATTCGTTTTCGTTATTTCGTCAAGCGTTACGTTAGAGGTGAATGATGAGGTCAGTCTAAGAATAGAGCTCAAGTTGGAGCTAGTGTTGAGGTTTGGAACAGATATCCAATCTCAACTGTCGCTTTGCTTTGTATTCGCCGTTTTTTTGCAATTTATTTTCTCGTTTCAACGAGTTAATAATAATGTATAGGGGTCTTGTTGTTGTAAATGAGTTAAACAATAGCAACAGTCGTGTCTCTCTCGCTGGCTCTGGGCACGCTTTGTGCCTCACTCCCAAGCGCGCGCACGTGCCTGTCACCTGGAGCACGTGGTGTGTGGTGTGTGTGGTGTGTGTGTGTGGTGTGTGTGGTTTGGTGTGTGTGGTGTGTGTGTGGTGTGTGTGTGGTGTGTGTGTGGTGTGTGTGTGGTGGTGTGTGTGTGGTGTGTGTGTGATGTGTGTGGTGGTATGTGTGTGATGTGTGTGGTGGTGTGTGTGTTATGTGTGTGTGGTGTGTGTGTGATGTGTGTGGTGGTGTGTGTGTGATGTGTGTGGTGGTGTGTGTGTGATGTGTGTGGTGGTGTGTGTGGTGTGTGTGTGTGGTGTGTGTGGTGGGGAGCGGGAGTGTAGCGGTTAGCGCCACGCTGCGCTACGGAACCGGCCACCCGAGTTCGATTCCCGTTCACAGCCAACACCGGTGACGATTATCTGAACCGATCGTGGGCCTCCCCTAGGTCGACTCGGCCTCAAATGAGCACCTGGTGCGGTGTGTAAACATCGCTACTAGGGAGACAAAGGCGGTCGGGTGTGGCGTTGGCCACCCACCCCCTCGTGTGCCGTTCCGGCCTTCATAGGTGCTGGCTACCAGCACTTGCCCCAAACAGTCTGTTACAAGCTATACGGGGGATCTTTGTCTTTGTCTTGTGTGTGCAGGGGGTGATAGTGTAGTGGTTAACGCGCTGCGCTACGAAACCAGCCACCCGAGTTCGATTCCCGCTCACGGCCAACATCAGTGATGATTATTTTTTAACCGGTCTCGGGCCTCCCCTAGGTCGACTCAGCCTTAAAATGGTGCGGTGTGTGAATCTCGCCACGAGGGAGACAAAGGCGGCCGCGCGGGGTTCTTGCCACCCACCAGTTATTTTCGCATGCGGTTACCGGTAATGCAAAAACAAAAATCTATTTTAACAACCCGAGTGACCATTGGACACAAACATGCTGTGGGACCACGTGGTGAGCAGTAGAGGGTTGTACGGTACTTATATGCTACCACTTCTCTGCTCCTCGCCTTCAACCCGCAAAGACTGGCGTGGTGAAGTATGGTGTAATTACGACGACGACGACCCCTGCAGAGCCTGCGGAGTCCCTCATCCAGCAGTGGGTTGCCACACGGGCCGCTGTGCACGTGCACAGTCTGTACACGTCATAAGAACTCACTGCTGGCAATTGCACGCGTGCGTTTATCAATCACAAACACTGTGCTCACATTGCTCTGTTCGGCCTCCTCGCGCCTGGGTTGTATTTGTGCTCTAAGCAAATGGGACGACGTCTCACGGTGTCTCCACTACACCCGATAGAGAGTCCTGCATCAGAGGTCACAAACGGGGTTTGATTCCTTACCAGTACCCGGCCGCACCAGGGTCGCAAACGGGTACCCGTTCCCGGCCGGGTTTGGGTAGCCGGGTATCGGGTAGGGTACGGGTATCGGGTACCCGGTTGCGACCTCTGTCCTGCATGCATTTCTACACATGGGGACAACCGGTGGTTGAGCCGGTTGGGCGGTGATTTCAGACGAACCTCAGTCGATGGTCGTGATCCCCGAGTTTGTCATCCAGAGCAGTAAATACGCTTCATGCAACCAAGACGGTGGCAGCAGTAACAGGAGTTTGCATGCGATTTTTGTCAAAGTATCGGGCAATGCCGGTGACGTTACGGGTCTTGGTGGAATTGCAAAGAGACAAATAGTAAAAAACGAAGAGCAAACAGAAATATTGCATGAGCTGTTTTAGCATCTATATAAATAAAGACCTTCATCTGAATGTCTCAAAAGCCTCTAGGGTACTTCCCGACAAGTTAGAAAGCCGAGGCTTGGTACATTGGTAGCTTTTATGACACAACAACAGGAAAAATAAAACAAATCTAAGATTTATTTTATTTTAAGTCCCCGAATCTTGAAATTAAGTGCCCCATAAGCATGTATGTGCGTATATCATTCAGAAATCGTAAAAAAATATAAGACTGCGGGTTGTTTAGTTTGATAGAGCGTTAAACAGAAAATAAAATAAAAGCGAGAACCATCGTTTATTTTTAAAAATATTTTTGGGATGAAAGTGTTTTTTTAATTAAAAACGGTAAAAGCTTCCCCTCACAGAGCAACACGTTAATTAATTGTTGCATTTTCTCATAAATAATCGGAATCTTTAAATTGAGCGGTTTCCGATGGGTACGTCTTTAATTATAACAAGTTGAATCAAGCCGTCAACAATTGTAGTTTTTTGTGGAAAAATACTCATTTTTTAATAGTTAGTGTCTGATCGTAGATTAAAAAAAATGTGTAAAAAATCATATCATGTTCATTATATTTATTGTAAACGTTTGCCTGGCGAAGACAGGCTTATGCGCGTAACAAATGCGACGTGTTAGCCAACAAAACGCACAACACTAAAATATCACGATTGTCGGGAAATGCTCTGCAGTTCTAAACTGCGTTGCTCAGAACCCTCAATTTAAGAACTTGAATTTGTCTTACTGCTTAAAAAGATGTAAAGTTCACAAACACTGTGAGGGTGAACCAGTGGCACATGATAATCCTACATTTCTTATGATATACATCTCAACGCCGGTACACAAGCCACACTACTATACACTATACTCGATAGTAACACTGCATTGTACCTAATATTTGTATATATATATATATACACACACACAAGGGATGAGATTTGGATGACATTTTTTTGGCGGGATATAATATTTTTTCATGCCATTTTATTCATTTTTGCACGATTTTTATTGAAATATGTTACAATGTAATCGACTTAAGTACACAAGCACATACAGACGTTGTTCTCACTTGCCTATATATATTTATTTACATTTCCCCCCGTTGCTGCTTTGGATCGTGGTTGAACCTGGCAGCGGGGACCACACGACACGTTTCGTCTGTGGAGATGTAAACGGGCAGGTTTGGGTCATTTATCTCCATGAGAGCG